TTCTCCTATAAGAGCAGCACTGGAGTATTTATTTATTATTACTTATTTATGCACAAATGATGTCACCAAACATACAAGCAGTGATTTAAACGTGGAATCAGCCTTGAAAATCCATATTGGATCTCAGTGTTTCCAACAATTAAGTATAACAAAGCTGCTCATATGATGCTGTGTTTGTACAAATTCCTTCCATGACAGATGAAGTGATCCTGATCCAAGAGAGTAAGACCTGGGAGGAGGCCTTAAATTACTGTACAGAGAACTACCGTGACCTGGTGTCCATCACTAACCGTCATCAGCAGAGATGGGTCCAAGAGAGAGCCAAGAACGCCTCAACTCCTTTTGTCTGGCTGGGACTGCGCTACACCTGCACCCTGGACTTCTGGTTCTGGGTCAGTGACAAGCTAGTCTGCTATGACAACTGGGACTCACCTGCAACCACTGATGACTGTGTCAGTGCTGCAGCCATGGACAGAGGAGGACAGCATAAATGGTTCAAAAAAGCTGATACTGAAAAGTTTAATTTCATCTGTGCTTTATAACAAGTTTTAAAAGCACCCTAACCACCTTATATTTCTTATATTGCATTTTTCTGTCACACGTTTATACAACACTAACAGTGTACACTATGTACTGTCTGTTCATTATTGAATGGTAATATGGCAAATGTTAGGAATCTCAAACTGCAGAGGGGGAAACAAAATTACTAACAGACTTTCTAACTGCTTTGTACTTTTTGTATCCTATTGTAGATTTATAAGATTGTAAGAATAAAACAAAATCTATACTAATTTGTGATGATTAAAACCATATTTTTTTGTCATGATAATATTTTGGAGTTTAATGTAAATGGTTGATTGATTTTCTCTGATGCTGAATAAACTGATAAAGGATGATGTCTGCCTCTCATTCATGAGTACATACACTGTCATAATGTGTAAAAAGACCCTTCAAAGATAATTATTCAGGATTCAGGAGTGTGTTAAAAACATTATGTACCCAATTACCCTCCATTATATATAACAATTTATGAAATCTAATTATGATGTGCTAGCAACTGGGTATTTTTCTAGGCTTACTACTTTCTACGGTATAAACATAAGACATTTAGAAGCTTTCTTAGGAGTTTTAACTGAGAATATACGTAGAAGGATAGTTTACAGTTGAAATGCACTTTGCTCTCTAATGGACGCTATTATGACACAACTATGTGCTTATCGGGCTACACCAACACGTTGCTGTTTTATCCCTCTGGCTTTAAAATTTGCATGCTTAACATACCTGCTGTGCACCAACTTATAGACTATTGCAGTTGATCTAGCAATTAATTAGAAGTAATTTAGCGGAAGCTTAGCTGAACTCTGGTTTAACTTTATTCATCACCAACTTACTTACTAAAATGTATAATTAAGAGAAGAGCTGAAAGGGAAAGGGGACTTAGAAAACAATGACCACCTGCCATAAAACAAAGTTGACCTGTAGCCTTAAGAGTCTGCAGCCTGAGCCCGTTGTCAAAGCAGAAGAGTTTCATTCCAGCACAGAGGAGTGTAACATGTATTTTTGCAAATGACTGTGGACATAACACTATCTAATGTTCTGCAGCTGTCTGAGGCTCAAAGGTTTATATATAAAGGTATTATTTCAATCAGGAGAGACTTTCTCGTTTTTGAATGAACAAACATATTTTGATAAGAAATGTGAAACGTCTTTGTCCCCAAGAGAATTGAAAAGAATGAGAAAGGAACATTGAACCTGGCTTAAACTGCATTAACCCTACTTTGCCAGACAGCAACAGATTACTTAAAATATGTAATGAGAAAATTAGACAGGAACTCATAGCTGGAAGTAAATGATTGTTAAAAATATACAGAAAATTATGGCATAATAAGGTTGTACTGATGTGACAAGTGTTCAAAGAGTCAATGTAAGCTTGATACTAGAACGAAATGAACAACATGGACTGGATGAGGATAGGATTTAGAAGCTAACACCGAAACTCCTCTTTTAATTTAATTTAATTTAATTTAATTTAATTTCTAAACAAAGGTATCTTGTAAATCTGTGTGCCTACAAGTTGCAACTGACCTTCCTCGTATTGAACAGACCTTTTAATAGTTTTTATTTTGTTAATAATTTAGGTAATACAATCTACTCGGATCTACTTGGTTCTATTGAATTAAGTATTTTCTTGTTAAAACAGAATGTACTCACGAGTCCAGGCAAAGGGGAAAACGTTAGATGATCATTTATTTGAAGGTGATTTTTATCCAAAGATACGCCTAACCCTAACCCTAACCCTGTTTTAAGATATTATATGTGATCAAGACGAACCACTTATCTGTCTGTCCCCACAGGCACCGGTCTTCATGTCTTTCTTAATCACAGATAGGCCAGGAAGATGGCCTATCTGTTAATATGCATTTTTTCAATGCCAGCCAGAATAAACAGTCAGCACAATTATAAGACTAATAACGGTATCCTTAGAGTTGTGATAGGTGCTGTTACCATCTTATTATTAACTGTTGAACGTAAGGACTTAACAAACAAACAGTTGTGGATTTATGGATAGCTGACGCAACCCAATCCAGTTGCCACTTTAAGAATGTGGTAATACAAGGAGAGAGCATATTTGTGAGGGTCAGCTACGTGTAACCTGTGAAAATATTTTTCAAGTCAAGGTTACAATTTTACCGAGCTGTTTGCTTTTTGTGTATGAACAAAAGGCAACAGGGGTAAATTGTGATGTTTTGTTGCCCCATTGCTTCTTTCTTCTTTCTTCCCCTCATGCCTCTTGGTCCTTGACCCAGATACCACTGTTTTGGACGTGGAGGAGCAGCGTGACCCTCTGGGCAATTACTACTGATACCAGAGTCATCCCAGAGTCATCTGGGATCAGTATTAAAGGCCCAGAGGGTCATGTTGCTCCTCCACGTCCAAAACAGTGGTATCTGGGCCTCACATGGTGAAGAATAAAGATGCCAAGGCCCCCCGAGATCCAGCTGCCTCAAGGTCTAGATCATTCCCTTGTTTATTACTTGCTTGGGTCAAATCTTTACAGTATAAGTTTAAGAAGTGTTGAACCGATGACTACAGGAACAGACTGCAAAAAGGAATCTTTAAAAAAAGCAATAAGAAAAAGGCTAAATTGCATGGCCTGTAAATATCATTTCTATGATAAAGTAAAAGGAAACTCAATATAATTAAACAAAACACAAAGGATAAGGAAAAAAAGGTAGTAAAGTAAAAAAATGTACCATACGTTTAGCTAATCACTCAACAACAAACCTTTGTCGGCCCAAACAGTCTAGAATTTATTTTACCTCGTGATGTAGTACACTGTAAATAGAAACTTGTGTGGTAATGTGCTCTTGTTCGACTCTCACATACAGTAGGAGGGAGAGGCAGTAATGGAACAGACAGACAACACCGCTGGTGTCTGCAGACAGGGAAAGAAGTACAGCTGCTTGCAACAATAACAGCAACAACCAAACAGTGGACTATTACTTGACATCTGTATTATATTCTCTGTGAATTTTTCTTTATAAGATAAGTAAAAGTAAATGATCTTAATGTTTTGAGAAATTAAAGGGATTAGTACAAATTAGAGTGATACTGGACAGTATGGCAGTAGCCAATCCGTGCCCCAACAAAGAGTGGGAGGAATGGAAGAGAGAGATGGAGGTGAACAGGAGGGGAAAATTGAGGGAGAGGGTGAGTCGTTGGTCTAAAGCTGAAGAGGAAGAAAAGGAGGATGATGGAGAAGAAGAGGAGGCAGAGGACACGGACAGTGAGGAAGAGCGAGTGAGCGAAGATGAGGAAGAGGAAGAAAATGAGGAAGAGGAGAAAGAGATGGAAATGAAGAAAGCACAGGAGATGGAGAAAGAAGGAGAAAATAAGGTAGGGAGGAGGGATAAGGAGATGATTGAAGCAAATGAAAGAGTAGATATGGAGGAAGAAGAAGAAGAAAAAGAAGAAGAAGAAGAAGAAAATACAGAGAAGAAGGAGATTGAGGAGAATGAGGAGGTGGACGAGGAAGAGGAAAAAGAGGAGAAGCAAGCTGAGGAACTGGAAGAAGGGGAGCAGGGGACACAAAGGGAGGTTAAGGAGAATAAAAGGGGGGTGAGGAGGAAGACAATGAATCCAAAGGAAGGCTAAGAAATGGAAAAAAGACACCAAAGAAGGAGAAAATAAGCGGAGGAGAGGAGGTTAAGAAGAAAGAGGGAGGTAGATGCTGAAGAAGAGAAAGGAAGTAACAGGGGCGAAGAAGTGAGAAGTGCAGGGAAGTAGAAATATGAGTTGAATGAGGAGGAAGAACGGCTAGGTGAGGAGAAGACGAGGTCAGGGGAGCCCTGGATGTGAAGACAGCAGCAAATTGGACAGTACACCTGGAAAAGAGCAATTCAGAGTTCAGGTGAGACCGAGGGTACTCAGCCGACACCGAAGTCGAGAAACAAAAGATCAATGAACGGAAGCGATAGATCCGATAATGGAAGATTCTTCAACTTGACAGGCTCTCGAGGATAAATGGAATTAGACTTGAAAGACTAAATGATGAAGAGGACCTGTTGAGACACATGTATCCTGGAATCGACAACCAAAATATCCTGATGAAGAAAAGTCATTGGAGCAATGAAAATAGCAGCCCAGGAGCATGGAGCGAAGGTGAACGTTGAGAAGTTAACGATGAGAGGAGCTTGGACAACTCAAAAGAAAGAGTTTCTAGAGGACTACGAAAAGCTTCAAAGAGAAGAGGAAATCTACAGAGAAAGAAACAGAACATTCCGCAGCTGAGGATGGTAGATAGCATAATGATGAGATGGTGCGCAAGAAGATTACTGCAAGCTAATTATGTCACAGTCAGTATGTCGACACTTGACAGAGTTTTAGGAGCTCCGTCCCTTCCTCTCACGGACCTTACTTGAGCACAAGGATGGGACGTTTCTTGTAGCACTCCCCTTGTCCTGGCCGCTGTCAGCTCCCTTATCCGGGGAAGTCTGGTAGAAATCAATGTAGAAAAACGATAGATTTGATGAAAGAACGAAAGATGAAAAACTCCAGAGTGGATCCTCTGTTTCTGGTCCAGAAGTGGATAATGTTGGATTAGAGGGCAGTTGTGGAGTTGGCTACCTGTCTCATATCGTTTTTGAACAAGGACACTGTGCACAGATTAAAGACTGCAGCTCACATACTGGGTGGCCCCCAGGGTGCTGGATCTGTGCGACCAGAGAAGGAAAAAGTTCATAAAAACTGGTGTAGAAGACAGAGGGACGAATCGCTGGCAGAGCAAATGATTATCAGTCTTAACGTCC